TATCATTCTTAAATAAATATGAAATCATGTCAAACAAACAGTATGGGTTTCGGGAAAACACCTCAACTTCAGATGCTATTGCGAGATTGACAAAAATAATCAATAATTCAATAGACCAAAAACAACCGTCACTTTGCATCTTTGTTGATCTCGCAAAAGCATTCGATACTGTTAACCATCAAAAACTTTTAGAAACAATAGAAAACATTGGTTTCAGGGGCGTAGTCTACAATTTAATGAAGAGCTATCTTCATAACAGAACACAATTATTCGATATTAACGGTAACTTAAGTGAACCTAAGATTATAACCTGTGGTGTTCCTCAAGGAACAGTACTCGGTCCACTACTATTTAACATATATATAAATGACTTATTTGAACAACACGTCGCAGGTGAAGTGGGTGTTTTCATTTTTGTTTTATTTATTATTATTTATTAGATGATATTAGATGATATTAGATGATATTAGATGATATTAGATTATATTAGATGATATTAGATGATATTAGATGATATTAGATGATATTAGATGATATTAGATGATATTAGATGATATTAGATGATATTAGATGATATTAGATGATATTAGATTATATTAGATTATATTAGATTATATTAGATTATATTAGATTATATTAGATTATATTAGATTATATTAGATTATATTAGATTATATTAGATTATATTAGATTATATTAGATTATATTAGATTATATTAGATTAGATTAGATTATATTAGATTATATTAGATTATATTAGATTATATTAGATTATATTAGATTATATTAGATTATATTAGATTATATTAGATTATATTAGATTATATTAGATTATATTAGATTATATTAGATTATATAAGATTATATTAGATTATATTAGATTATATTAGATTATATTAGATTATATTAGATTATATTAGATTATATTAGATTATATTAGATTATATTAGATTATATTAGATTATATTAGATTATATTAGATTATATTAGATTATATTAGATTATATTAGATTATATTAGATTATATTAGATTATATTAGATTATATTAGATTATATTAGATTATATTAGATTATATTAGATTATATTAGATTATATTAGATTATATTAGATTATATTAGATTATATTAGATTATATTAGATTATATTAGATTATATTAGATTATATTAGATTATATTAGATTATATTAGATTATATTAGATTATATTAGATTATATTAGATTATATTAGATTATATTAGATTATATTAGATTATATTAGATTATATTAGATTATATTAGATTATATTAGATTATATTAGATTATATTAGATTATATTAGATTATATTAGATTATATTAGATTATATTAGATTATATTAGATTATATTAGATTATATTAGATTATATTAGATTATATTAGATTATATTAGATTATATTAGATTATATTAGATTATATTAGATTATATTAGATTATATTAGATTATATTAGATGATATTAGATATTAGATGATATTAGACGATATTAGATGATATTAGATGATATTAGATGATATTAGATGATATTAGATGATATTAGATAATATTAGATTACATTATCGATGCGTTCTTGACAAGTCAATTTGTTATCAAATGTTATCTCATCGCTTTTGTGTTTTATTATTTATTATGTTCATTAAGGCAAAACATTGATTTTTTACTACAAATTCCTAATATTGATATCTTCCAATTAAATGCTGGTTTATTAATTCATTATTAAACTAACAGAATTCCGTAATCATTTATAAAGGACATCTATGTATGCACGAACTAAACGTTGTGTGCGGTGGTAAATTTTGAGGTCTCCTTACATCTTCCGTTTAGGACAGACAAAAGGATTATGAGACAAACGATTTCGATGCACATTTCACATAAAAGACGAAATGTGTAATTACCCAAGACGTGAGATAATTTAGCATTAATTTTATTCACGCTGCATTTTCCTCGCAAAACTAAATTTCGAAGGAAACTGATTGTCTATCTATATTGTAAATTACATATAAGTCGTTAAAGTTCTCGTAACTTCTAAATAAAGATATATCATGTATAGCTCTATTTATACCCAGTAAATGTGCAAGGTAACTATACTTTTCGGAAAATCTACTAGTTTTCGGTAGTTAGTTTTGCCAAATTTGCTCCAGTTTTTGAGATAAAATCAACCAGTCGAAACGGAAAAATAGAATTGCAGATAATAATAAGATATTTATTTATTTCAGTATTTCCCAAAGTGGTCCAGGTGGACCCCCAGGGGTCCACGGGAGACTCGACGGGGATGTACGTTGGGCGTAATAAAAAATGGAGGTCTACAATCGTAAGCGGGGGTGCATGAAAATTAATTTGGTTTCGATAGTGAAGCAATATACTATTAAACAATTGATTACTCATTTTTCAAAAACTTCAACTGTTTATAATATAAAAAGTCAACATTTTAGTTACTAAAATGTTGACTTGACTTCTCTTATCAATATAGGCAGATAATATTTTAAGAAGCTCAGCGACTGTTACTTGTAAAAACTTGCATATTCCATATTCAGTACAACGCGTCGAGACTTTTCGTTGCCGCGCCGGCCGCCGTCCGTCCCGTATGCAACGTTTGTTCAGACGTGTAAATTAATACGACTTGTGGTGTATGTGCTTGAAATCTTGCATGAACGTGTTTGATTCTTCACCAATATAACTACGAATGTCAAGGATAATCGTTACTCATTTGTTTCTGGAATTTCATAAAGAAAAGTGAATCGATATTAGTGTTGACCAACATATTAGTGACTATTTTTCAATAATTAATTGCTTTGTAATTACCCAAAAAGTTTATGAAGAAGTCTATAAGATCAGGAATTTTTCCAATATATAGGTTTTCCTGTTGATATTGTTTATATGCTAATAAAAGTTCTTTACTTTTAGTTGTTGTTTGCCTAGATCCCATTGCGTGTTTTTTTGCGTTAAAATCTCCTCCGATAATAAATCCTCGTGTCTCTAGAAATTCTTTATATCTATTGTTCCTTTCTGATATTATATCTTGTTGGACAATATATTGATGTGAATCTAATATATTATATTTTAGTTTTTACATTAACTAATTATATTTAATATAACGGCACTTCCTTATTTTTTTTTGATGTTTGGATATACTCTGCATTCTTTAAATTTGATGCATGTCTCTTTAGTGATAAGACACACATCTATTTTTTGTTCTAGGTTTAGGACTGTTTGTAGCTCTTGATAATGCTGTAACATTCATTAGCATTCCATTCTAAATATCTAGATGACATTACGTATACATGTAAAAGTTATTATTAAATAAGTAAAGTTGGTCACTGAATTTATTATCTTGAAACAATAAACTCGAAAACATTAGTAACTTGTAAAATATTTGTATACGTTAAAATGTTTTATAGAAAAACAGCATTATTGAACAAAAGTGGTCTTAAGTGCGAACCTTGTATCACCCTTGAAGAAAACTTTTGGTAATCATTCAACGCGATATAATAAATTAAACATTAGAAACAATATATTAAGGTAACTAAATGTTTTAATTATTTATAAAAGTAGGTACAAAGTAACTGGTTGATATTAAGAATTTTTAAATTATAACCAAAATATAGAAGGCCGTTGACTTTGAATATAACTCATTAAAAGATGAAAAAGGTGGAAATTGGTGCAATCGATATTTTTACAAGACTATTAATCATTCAGTTCATGATGTTTTTTATTACATGGGTGTTAATTTCGTTGATGAATTTAACTTTCATTCATACTCTTTGAACCCATGGGAATTTTATTTGCATACAGTTGGGAATTGTTTTAATAATTAAAATTTTATAAATGTAAGTAGTAATAATACCTACATTTATTTTCCAAATCATTAATTTTTTAAAAGATGTTTAAACTCAAGGGCCAATGTTTTTACATGCATTACTCTTGCGCCCATTTTCCCGTCAGCCTTAGCGGGTCTATATTTGTATAAATTTAGGGCTTCTTTTGGAAAAATGTATCAATATGATGACGCATCTCTTAGGTAATAACGTACAATATTTTTGGCCTTTATTCCACTTATACCCTTGTTTAATTCAATCACAATTATTAAAATGAGAGTAATAATCCTTTGATTCACAAAATATTTTAACATATTTACAAAGCACAATGTCGTATTCAAAGAGAAATATTTAACACTCAGGCTTATTGTGTTTGCAAGTCAATAAGTATAATTCCAAGAATTTGGGATTTCGCCAAATGACATTATAAATGAGCTTTTTATGGAAGAGAGGGGCCGTGTAATTTGCAAGTTAAATATGGGATGTATATGTATAATATAGAGGTGTATAAGGGTTATGCAGATGACCCTGTTTATACAAGAATAAAGACAAAAATCAAATAATAAAAAATAAGTACCTTTAAAAGTATTAAGTTATTTTTTATTTTTTTTTTCAAGTTAATATGGTATAAAAATATGTAAAAAACAGAAATGGATAACAAAACTAAAATAAGGTAAGTACCTAAGACTCTTAGGTACTTAGGCTAGGAGTATTAAGTTTAGCCTCTTTTTTAACAGAATTCTATAGAAAACAAATTTTTCACGAACTCAGAAACTAAATTTGTACATAAATATTTGTGTAGAATCTGTGACCCTTTTAAAAGTTTTACGTACGGATCTGGTTCGCTTGGAAATTATTCTTGGTTATATATCTATGGAAATTATTAACTCACTTATCACCACGAGATAATCTAAAAAACTGGGCGTTTTAACCACATCCAGTCTAATTAAGTTGTTTAGCATCTTTTAAGAAGGTACAGGGGAGGAAGGTGAATGACACGTACTAAGTCCCGGTGATAGGAGTTGTCGTGGAACCTGTCAAATTGAAAGTAAAATTTCTTATCGATGAATTTGTTCGTTTTTTGCTGGCAACAAAATAGCTTATAGTTTTATAAACCAACTCAAAAAGACCTTATTACTCCCTACACGAGTAAATTACTACTACTCACCGACTTTATGGCAGCCCGGAGCTTGCCAAACTTCGTTGGCTGTTACTGAATCTACAATGAAATCACTGGATGAAGATACAGCAACAAATAAAAACCAAATGGCCAGCATTCTGAAAAACAAATATAATTTTTTAATAATAAAAAAATATATATAATTAGGTACTATACAGTGTGGAAAAGCCAAATGGAATAAATTCATTATTTCGATTACTGTACATATTTATAGAAAATCCCGAAACACGTCAAATTTAAATTATAAATTGACATTCTTCAAAGTGAAAATGTGATCCCTACCTTCAACCCCCTTTGAGTAACAGTTACAACCCCTAATTTTTAAATGGGAAGTATAGGCTTGTGATATATCGTTTGAAAGGTCTCTTCATTCTCTATCCAAAAATGTTATTGTTTTTAAATTTATTGCAAAAATTAACATAAAAAATATAAAATAACTGATAACCGAAATTTGTTACAATACACTCAATATGTAATATTTAATTGTTCATAACGTAAAAAATATGAATGTCAATGAAGTAGATGTTCAAAATGCTCACCGCGAACGTCTTGGCAACATCCTAATCTTGAATAAAAATGTCTTCTAACGTTAATTAACATATCAGGCGTGACCGATCTAATCGCAAGCATTATTCATTCTCTTAAGTCATCTAAATCACGTGATTTAGTTTTGTAAACAAAATTTTTCACATAACCCCATAAAAAAAATCTAATGGGGTAAGATCAGGCGATCTTGCTGGCCATTCTATTGATCCTCGCCTCCCTATCCAGCGATTTGGAAATGTTAAGTTGAGGCACCACATCATTTTGTAGTAGGGTATTGTGTATAGACCTCTCTCATCCAGTGAGGATTTTCCGTTGACCAGTAGCGGCAATTTTGACGATTAGCATGACCGTTAACGGAAAAATTGCACTCATCAGAAAACATAACGTTTTCTAATTGGATGGTATTGTTATTCAACATTTCCATCATTTGTTCGCAAAAATTTGTTCTCCTATCAAAATCGTCTTCCATGAGTTCCTGAGTCGGTATCATTTTATAGGGATGCATTTTATTTTCATTTAATATGTTTAGTATCGATGTATGGCTGACATTAAATGTTGCAGATGCTTGTCTACTCGATGTATGTGGGTTTTCCTCAAACTCAAGAATCATATCTAATTTGATATCATCACTCAGTGCATCTGCTTTACATGTCCAAATTCGCGAAATTGCTTCTCTATTTTACTAATTGTACCTTGGGATATAGGCGGCAAATTCGGAAATTTTTCATGAAATAGGCGAGCAACTTCCATTTGTGTTCGGGTGTTATCTCTGTAAAACTGTTATTTTATGCATTTCTGTTAATCTAACCATTTTTATGAAATTCAAACGACAATTATAATATTGACAATATCCTGCAGTTATAATTATTACAAACCAATTTGCTAAGGCGTTTCAAACAAACTAACATTGCTATGATAGTTTTTTAAAGGATTTTTTTTAAATTGATATTAAAAAAGAACACTGATATGGTTTTTGTTTGGGTACTGTCTTATTATTTATTATAAAGACTGAAACGGGAAATAGTAGTATAGGTACTCTAGAGAATTTCGGTAATAAGATGATTTTATTTTTTTGTTATGTTAATTTTTGCAATAAATTTAAAAACAATAACATTTTTGGATAGAGAATGAAGTGACCTTTCAAACTACACATCACAAGCCTATACTTCCTATTTAAAAAATTAAGGGTTGTAACTGTTACTCAAAGGGAGTTGAAGGTGGGGATCACATTTTCACTTTAAAGAATGTCAATTTATGATTTAAATTTGACGTGTTTCGGGATTTCCTATAAATATGTACAGTAATCGAAATAATGAATTTATTCCATTTGGCTTTTCCACACTGTATAAAACAATGACACCGCTTATTACTTTTGTATTCTGTATAAAATTTTGAATTTAGAATTTGATATACTTTACTAAAATGTAGCAATTGTTTAGTGTCAGTCATGTTTGTAGAATATCTGCGCTAAAATCAAAAACAACGCAATGAAAAGTAATATTACTGATAGGCTATTGAGTACGTCAAATAGAAAGGAACAACTCTATGGGTTTTTATCTCATGAATCGTTTAAATGATCATTAAAAATCAAAAAACCGCGGAGTGCTAATAAATTAGAGGGTGGAAATTAGCAAATAGGAATGAAGATGCAACCCTTACAGTTTTAAAATTATATCTCAAAAACGAAGCAAAATTCAGGTATAGTTAATAATAATTTTTTGTAGAGAATGAGATTTCATATTGAAATAGATCATTTAATTTTTTTTATGTAAAATATATAAAAAAACGTTGATTACATTTCCTTTAAAATGGTGAATTAAAAATGTTTTTTTGGATAAAAACGGACTGAGATTCACCCGCTTAAACTTAGCTATTTTTTTCGATTTTTATCGCTTTTACCTTGATATCGTTTTAGTTATTTTTTTTTACAATAAAATTTATTTTTTATTAAAAAAGAAATTAAGTTAATTTGTTAATAATTTACTATTTTTAAGACTGTGATCAATTTATAAATAAAGTCCTAACTAATTATTATTTAAAATTGATTTTTTTTATGATTTAAACTATAATAATTAATTGTCCTTTTTGCGATAAAAGTTATAATTTGTTGTACTAATTTTTCTTATTCTCATTATTTTATATCTCTTCAATAATGTTATCAAATTGGATATCGATTTCTTTGGCTATGTCTTCAAGACATCCTCTCCTGTCTCTCGCACATTTTTGCAATTGACATCCATACATTATTTACAAAATATTGAAGAAGGTATTCCCAACTTCCTACTACCACTAGTCTGGTTCACAAATTTCATTTCGCCATAAACCTAGGCTGGACCACCGAAAATTATGATTTTCATTATAAACAATCACGTAAAAAAAGAATGGTTTCCTTTTTTGAAAATATTTCAAAAACTATTTGGGATAATCAAAATTTGAAAAAATATCCTGGAAGAGCAGAAAATTTCCTAAAGAATGTTCTAACTTCCGGAACTGTACCGACAATATTTATAATTTTAATTTAGAGGAGAAAATTGAGCTAAAGCTGCCAAAAATTATGTCTCATTAAATTGATATTAAAATATTCTCGAGATTTAGATTCAACAAAAATAGCCGACTATTATCAAGGTTTTGGTATTATACCCTTGAATAAAAAAAAATTGGTACTGTCTAAACCAGACACACTCAACCTGCAGTCCTCCAAGCTTTTTTGTGCGGCTCTAAACACTATTATTAGGAAGGTGCTTTTTAAAACTATGGCTGTTTTTAAAATTTTGATCGAAATGCACGAAAACATTAACATTAAGCGATAAATATCATGCTATCATGCTAATATATTTATTGTTTTGTGTATTAGAGATCCCAATTAATTTTAAATGGTTGACCTACAGTTCTTTTTGGAAACAAATTGTCCTTGCGATTTTTCAAATCTTTCTAAATCAACTAAAATAACATGAGGACTTTATTTTTTATTTTTGTTAGCAAATATTTAAAGCGGATCCCTATTGTCACGCGTTGTGCTTTATTTACATTTACCCAAAAATATTGCGGCACGTGTAGCATAACAAACAGATTTATGTGGGCCGAAAGAAAAAAGGTTGAGTATAGCTGATTTAAACAATAATAATCCGTCAACAAAAAATTTTTATCCATTTTTTTTAATTAACTATGCCTTTGTTAATTAGTTAATTTTTACCAGTTGAAAGTTAACATAAAAACGCTGATTATTTCTAAACTAGAAAACTAAAACTTTTCTTACTTTGTGGAGCTATTCGTAAAAGGGTTTAGAAAAGATTCCCTTTGGAAAAATTTATAGATTTTGATTTTTCACTTTTTTATTAACAATCAAAGGCATTCAAAAATTAAAAAGCTATGGGTGTAACTAAATAAGTGTAAAACATTTAAGGGAATGATTCCTCATCGAAAAAGAGATAGGATCTTTCATATAAAGAAACTTCATTGGAGTATCCCTTGTTAAGATACAGCCCCTTAAAGGGGGTACATAAAATTTGTTTAACAATTTTTTTTCACAAGCACTAAACAAGTTACAATATTGAAATTAACCTGTCATTTTCTATTACCAAAAAGACACTTAGCCAGTAATTTATTTGGTTTACCCCATGGTTGTAAGGGGTGGAAAACGCAACCCCTAAAATTTCGTTCCAACGTAACTTTTTGTCTTATTATTTGTTTACCATTTAAAAATTTATTTCCGATAGCCTGTTCCATTGTAAACAAAAAATGTCTCTTGAAATTTTTGCCCAAAATAAACCAGTTCGCAGCAAAAAAATATTTTACGAACAACTACAGAGATACTTGTTTTTTTTATATATAATATTATACGAGTAGGATAGTATAAAAACTCATATATTTGTATTTTAAACAAATTTAAAAAAGTACATTGTTACTTTTTGATTTTCCCCGTATACGATAATTTTATTTATTTTTTGAAAAATGTCGATTTAATAATATCAATTATATCAGCTTAGAGTTTTTAAGCGAATACTCACTCACTATTTTTCGGTATTGTCAAAAAATAAAGGTGCTTCTCTCTATCACTAATTATTTTTTAAAAACCTTGTATATGACTGAAAGCATTTGATTTTGAATCTTGTATTTTAGGTTTTAAACCATCCATAACTTTTTATAAAGAATCCTTTTTTTACTAGTAAAAAGTTTTCCATATAATTCCAACTTTAGTAAACGCACTGCAATTTTTTATCTCAAATTTACTAAATTAATATTTACAGACGATAAAGTTATAAAATTTATAGAATAATTAAAATAGCAAAGAAAAGTTCTTGCAGTTTAAAAATTAAAAAAGTTATATTACTTTTTTATTTACTCCGTACACAGTAATTTTTTTATTATTTGAAAAAAATCCAGCTTAATAATATCAGTTTTGTTGCTTACAGTTTATTTAAAGATATATTTACTTGCACTTTTATGACAGAAAAGTAATTAGCGCACTTTATAATATTCCGCAAACTTAAAAAAAAACCGCTGAATCGTATCAAATTAATGAAATCGTAACTCACCTGGCCTAGAAGCTGTAACT